GTGGCCTCGAGGAGGAGCCGGGAGCACTCGAGGTGCACATAGAGGCACGCCATGATCAGCGGCGTGGCGCCGTCGTTCCGTGATTGGCTGACCGAAGCGCCGGTCTCGAGGAGCAGCCGGGCGCACTCCAGGCGGCCCTTCTCGCATGCGACGAGCAGCGGCGTGGTGCCTTCTTCATCAGCCTGGTTGACCGCCGCGCTGGCCTCGAGAAGCAGCTGGGCGACCTCGAGGTGGCCCTCTTGGCACGCGATGAGCAGCGGCGTGGCGCCGTCCGCTGCGGCTTGGTCGATCGCCGCGTCAGCCTCGAGGAGCAGCCGGGCGCACTCGAGGTTGCCCTTCTGGCACGCGATGAGCAGCGCGGAAGCGCCGCCGCCAGTCGTCGTCCCCACGCTTGCGCCGGCCTCAAGCAGCAGCCGCACCGCCTCGGCTTGCCCATGCCGAGTGGCCCAGGTGAGCAGCGTGTCCTGCTTCTCGGTGTCGAGCCGCGCGTCGAGCTGGGCCGTTAGCGACGCACCGCACGTCTGCCGCCCGGAGAGGAAGGCTCGCAGCGCGGTCAGGTCGCCCACCGCCAGGTCGGGCAGCAGAGTTGGGCTCAGGCAACAAGAAATAACGCCGCTCAGAGTGTCAGTGACGGCTCTAATAAAATATACTCGCGGGACGCGGCACAAACGGGGCACAAACGCCAGGCTACAAAGACGGGGAGGCACGTAGTGACGCAGGGGAGTCTAGGCGACGGCGGCGTCCTCCGACGCCGCGGCGAGCCTGAGCTCGGTCGCAATCTCTTCCGCCGCCGCGAGCTGCAGCGCGACTGACATGCGCTGGGCCTGCAGCGACAGCCACGACCGCGTCGACCAGCTCGCCTCGTCCTCGTGCTGCCGCTTCGAGAGCTTGTTGCGCACCTTGTCCTTCATCTGGTAGAACAGCCAGGTTGGTGCTGCTGCTGCTGCCACCACCCTGACCGCTCGCCCCTCCGCGCCCCCGCTGCTGCGTGGCTGTCGCCCCACTGCTGAGCTCAACAAGGCATTATCTCTCGCGTAGAACTTCCTCAAGAGCCGCATCACCTCAGGCGTCAAGCTGCGATTTATGCCATCACCTGCTCCAGCATTGGTCACGTGGCTACTGTCGAGATTGGTGTACTTGAGGTGAGACGGGGGGATGTTCTTGGTCAGGCTGTCTACCAACAATGAATGATTGTGCCGGAGGGCAGCGGACATTGCCGCAAGCGCAGAGTCGGATACCCTTCCTTTGAACGCTCCCAGCAACCCCTGGGTCAAATTCAGAAACGGAATGCGGTGCGTGTAGTGCTCCCAAAGGGGCACGGTCGTGTTGCCACAAAAGTCACTCTGAGGCGCCCAGTGCGGATTATGACGCCCGAAGGTCCTAAGCCTGTATGCCACGTTCACCAAGCTGACATTCTCATCCTCCAAACGGAATACCTTGTGGCAGTGTGTCCGTCCATCATGTGCGTCGCCAAGCAGGCACTTGGAACGGTAGGCGGACAGGAAGCGCTCTAGCGGGTTGCGGTACACGATCACTTTACGCCACGACGAATCGTTGTACATGAGGGCAAGGAAGTCGCGAAAGGGCAGCTTCTGGCGCGCGGGCGTGCGAAGCGGTTCCAGTAGTCCACCATGTTTGAGGGTGACTTGTCCTCTGCGAGCCAAGCGAGCCTCTGAATGATCGAGAGCCCGTTCTTCTCAACAGCACATATCAGCATCCTCGATTTTTTCAGCACTTTGACCCGATTGAACCAGCGCGATCGGTCGTTGCGCAGCGCGTCCTGCCACGCGCGGCTGTCGATGATTCGCTCAGCCGCCGGGGTAAGCCACTCCCATGCTGGACGACCGGCCACATTTTGGCCCGCAATCCCTGAGTTTGCTGCAGGACCTGCATTCTGATCCACACTCGAGAGGGTCATACGCATAGGGCTGCTTTGCGGTGCCGACGGGGAAAAATCACGACGCAGTCCTGGAGAGCGCGACTATACGCGCTGTGAGTCATGTGAGGTGCAGCGATATGGCTTCGCAAACTTCTTTTTCCCCCGTTAGAGCTAGGACGCGCCCTGGCGAGTAGAGGCCCCGCCCACCCAGGGTACCCTCTCCGAGGACCCATGCTCTTTCGAGGACTCGCCGGGCTCTGCTCCAAGAGACCTCGAGAGAGCGTGCGTGTAGGGACGCGCCAGCCAGTCCGTCCGCACCTGTGTCGAGCCTGTCTGCTGTGAGAGAGAGTTGTCATGGTGAAATTCTTTTCCCCCGCACCCCGCAAGGCGCGCGATACACACACTTTTTCAGTGTACATACAGGCAGGCAGCTTACACTGGGCTGGGAGAAAAGGGAGAGGGAGGGGGAGGGCGGAGGGGGGTGTGCTCTCTAGTTCACCACACCCGCCTATGAGCTCTTAAAGCAGGCCGGCAGCAAGCAGCTCGTCAACTTCCTCAGCGGCGAGGGCGGCATGGGCAAGTCGATGCTGATCAGGCTGCTGACGCAGTGGTGGCGCAGTCAGGGCCTCCGCGACCGCGTGTGATGGTGCTCGCCTCGAGCGGCAAGGTGGCGCGGCTCATGAACATGATCAACGGCCACACGGTCCACTCGGCGTGCAAGCTGCACCCCACGGGCCGGAGGCTGCGCAGGCACAGTTTTGTGCACGGAGCTAGATTGCATTGACAAGGAGAGGATGAGGTTTATTCCCGCGTGCGATGTTTCGTGATCGTGGCCGGTGAATTCTTTTCCCGTGAAATATTTTTCTCAGCTCGCCACTTCCGATGATGGGCGCTCTGTTGTCCAAAGCCCCAGCGGATACAGCGAAGACGCGCTGGTCAGGGACCGGGACCGAGGCCAGCCTCGTCGCACACGCACACCCTTGAGCGGCCGGCGTACAGCTCACGGCTCCCACACCTCAATTTCGCCGCTGCTGTCCTCTCCGTCAGAGGAAGCAGGCGTCGGCGGCCGGCTCGCCCACATCTCGATCTTCTTGGGCGCGAACTGGTGCTCTCGGTCGCCGTGGCCCAGCTGGCCATAGCCCCCGCCGCCCCAGTTCCAGACGGCGCCGTCGGAGGTGATGGCGAGGCCGTGGCTGACTCCAGCCGACACGGCGACGACGCGCCGACCAGCAAAGGCCTCGATCTTCTTGGGCAGCAGCTGCCGCTGCTCGTCGCCGTGGCCCAGCTGGCCGTCGCCTCCATCGCCCCAGCTCCAGACGGCTCCGTCGGCGGCGAGGGCGAGGCTGTAAAGAAATCCAGCCGACACAGCGACGACGCGCTGCGCCAAGGCCTCGACCTTCTTCGGCAGCAGCTGGTTCTGCCCGTCGCCGTGGCCCAACTGGCCCCGGCTTCCCCAGCCCCAGCTCCAGACGCCGCCGTCGGCGGTGAGGGCGAGGCTGTGGCCGAGTCCAGGGGAGACAGCGACGACGCGCCGCCCCGCCAAGGCCTCGACCTTCTTGGGCAGCAGCTGCCGCTGCTCGTCGCCGTGGCCCAACCGGCCAAAGCTTCCCAAACCCCAGCTCCAGACGGCGCCGTCGGCGGTGAGGGCGAGGCTGTGGGCGCCTCCTGCCACCACAGCGAGGACACGCTGGCCATCAAACGCCTCGACCTTCTTGGGCAGCAGCTGGCGCTGCTGGTCGCCGTGGCCCAGCATGCCGCAATCTCCATGGCCCCAGCTCCAGACGGCGCCGTCGGCGGTGAGGGCGAGGCTGTGGCGCTCTCCAGCCGACACAGCGACGACGCGCTGGCCAGCCAAGCCCTCGATCTTTTTGGGCAGCAGCTGGTGCTGCTGATTGCCGTGGCCCAGCTGGCCGTGCCTTCCATAGCCCCAGCTCCAAACAGCGCCGTCAGCGGCGAGGGCGAGGCTGTGGTATCCTCCAGCCGACACGCTCACGACGCGCTCGCCACCCAGCGGAGAAGGGAGGCGGGTCGGCGTGTTGAGCCGCGTCACGCCCTCGCCGTGCCCGAGCAGGGCTGGAGAGTAGGACGGCGCTGATCCGCACGACGAGAGCCGCCCCTCGCCGTCGATGAAGACGCTGTGCCGTTCGCTTGCCGCCGCCCTCGCCGGCGGGTTGGACTCGCATAGCAGCGCAGACAAGCACAGCCACCGCACGGCGCAGCTCTCGCCCTCTGGCTGCGCCGGCAGCTCGAAACCGCGCTCTCGCGCCCACAAGCGGATGCCCTCCACCGCAAGCGAGGCGTGGAAGAGGAGCGAGACGGCCGCGACGCCAGCGATGTCGAGGGGGTCGCAGCGAGAGACGACGCGCACGAGGAGGTCGGTGGGGAGGTCGAGGAGGCGGACGGGCGGCGGCGTGTCGGGCGAGGGCGGCGGCGCGCTTGGCGAAAGTGCAGACATCGCGAAAAAAAGAATCTTACAACAAAACTCCCTCGCACAACACTGGGCACGGGACTGGCGCGCACTGGCACGAACACAGGTACACCACGGGAGCCGCCTAAGCGACTCCTGCGAGGGTGGCGAGGCACTTAGCTCCGTGCACCCGCCCACCCCCGCCACAGGCAAGCTCATTCACGACCTGCTCTGCGATGGCCGTGTGAAGAACGACTGAGATGCGCTGCTTCTGCAGCCCCAGCCAGCTCTTGGTGGTCCAAGTCACCTCATCGAGGTACTGGGCCCGCGTCAGCTTGTTCTGTAGCACGTCCGCCGCTCTCCGGAGGATCTCACGGACCCCCTTTCCGAACCCGCCGAACGATTCGAACAGCAGCAGCTGCACTTCGACGCCCTTGTCTTCCCTGGCGTAGCGATAGTCCCCGCCGTAGGACGGTATGCGGCGGTCGCCGCCCACCACCCTGCCCCCCCTGGTATGCCAGCGCCCAGTCCCTTGCCCTCTCTCGCCCTTGCTCTTCCTCTCCCCCTCCATGCCGCCCCCCCCGTACCCCTCCCCCTCCCCCCCCCCCTCCTCCTCTCCCCCCCCCTCTCCCTGCCCCCCACCTCCCTCTCCCTCCTCGCAGTAGGGCATAAAAAAGAAATTTCCGTCCTCCTGACTTGGGTTGTCCGTTTTCTTTCTTTCTTTCTTTACACCGGTACGGGACTGGCACTGCAAAGGCGACGGATTAGAAGCCGTCGCCCTCACAGATGCCGTCCTCCTCACAGAAGACGTCGTCGGACTGGTAGTCAGGCGGATGGTCGAATCCGCGAGCACCGTGGTGCTTGCTCGCCGAGAGGACCATCCCCATCATCCTCCGACTCCATCCCCTCCCCCCCCGTCGATCCCGCCGCGCCCCCCGCCGGTGCCCGTCGCGGGACTTGCTGCCCCCCCGCCAGCGCCGCGGGCCGGGCCGCTCCGCAACTCCTCCAGGTCCCCCTCAAAGAGGAGGACCCGTCCCTCCCTCACCCAATCCTCCCACCCTGGGAATGGGACACCGCAAACAGAACCGCGCCCAGCGTCCCAGCAACGCAATCCCTCCCGCTCCCCCGCCTTGAACTCCGCCACGAGCGCCGCGACCACCTCGTCGCGCTCCTCGATCGCTCCCTCCGCCATCGCCGTTGTGCGCATCCGCCCCGAGAGGGGGTAGAAGTCGCGCTTGCCATGCCGTACTGCGAGGGACGCGAAGGACTGCCCCACCATGCCGTGCGGCAGGTAGCGCGAGGCCGCGTCGCCATTGCCCTTGATCGCGAGGTCAAGGCGGTGCGTCGGGCCCGAGATTGAGCCGTAGACCCAGTTGCCCAGCACCTTGAATGTCCAGCCGTCAATCTTGAGCACGATCGAGGAGTAGCCGACCTTCATCGAGAACTCCTCGCACGAGCGCCCTTCCCCCATGCCGAGAAAGAAGGGCCCGCCGCCGCACGTGCCGTTCACGATGTTGGGGCCGGTGTTGAATTCATTAAGCTCGCTGGCCCACACCTGCGACCCGGGGCACGAGCGGTGTTGGTAGCGGACTGCTGCAACAACGCTTGTGCCACTGCACGCTGTGCTGCTGATGTCGCGACTGCTGCTGTCGTCGCCGCCGCTACTGCTACTGCTCTACTGCTTGTGCTGGCCGCCGCTGCCGCTGCACTAGTTGCTAGGGTCTCTCACCGACAGCTGCAGGGGCTTCTGCTTCTCCCCGCCGACGATCGCATTGATGTGCACCTGAGTGATGTACGAGCCGTCGACTGTGAGCGAGCCCCTGTCGTCGTTGATGACAAAGGTCGCGTCTTCGATCAGGACGTTAACGCTGAGCCTCGGCGCAGAGAAGAAGCAGTAGTACGTCTTGTCGCGGCCACGGAAATCAGCCGTGCCCCCATGGGCAAAGTTGAGGTGCGGGTCCTTGTTGCCGCTTGCGCACTGCCCCCAGACGACTTGCAAGAATAGGATTTGCAGCAGCAGTGCGAACAGCGTCACGACTCGCCCAGTCATTCTGCTCGGGCGCGTGCGTGCCCTCTCCCGGTTCTCCCGCCCGGGACGTGATCGTCGCGCGGACTTCGTCGGCGTCAACCGTAATGAATCGGTTTCGTCATCATCTTGAGTTTTTCAGTGGATAGTTCCGCATGGTACGGGACCCCCCGATCGTCTCGCCCTCCCTCACTGGTGTGTTCATGGGGGGGGGTCATAACAAACACGGTACAGGATCGAGGACGAGGTGTCATCATCTGCTCAATTTGGGGGGAGGGGGGGGGGGGGGGCTTTGGGGACACTCCTGCCACACACATTCGAGATTTGTGTGCGCGATCCGATCTTCGGGTCCTCCGGGGCCACGTCGACTCGGTCTCGTGCTCCTTCGACGCGTGAGGGGTGACATGTGACACCTCCCGCACCCGGGGCCGAAGCCACGATACGGCATACGGATACGCGCGACGCCCCGCGACGGCCGACGCCGCGCGACACCACAAAGATCGATAGACGATACACGCGATAGCAACGCCCCGGGGGGGCCCGGGGGGGGGGGGGGGCGCGAGGCTATAGTGATCATATAGTACACATAACTTTGACATACCACATACCTTGAGGTACGGCTTATAGACGTCAGGCCTCAGGGCTCCCAGCGTCCCAGGCACTACACAACGACCTCGCCCACCATCAAATAACGCGCTGTCCTCACCATCCCTGCGCTGTGCGCCACATGCCGCCCGTCCGCGTCGCGCCCCACGCTCGCATGCACGCGCATCACGCCTTGGGGGTGCGCAATCCGAAGCTCCGCGCCGCCGCCGCAACCTCCGCCGCCGCCGCCGCGAACAAGCTCGTGTGCGACGGTGCCCGGGACGGCTGCTGCGCATGCGAGCGCGAGTGCGGTGCCCGTGTGCGCGTGGTGGACGCGGCTGCCTGCCGAGACGCGGGAGATGAGGTCGCACCTGCATGCATGTGCCACCCAAGGTGCATGAACCAGTGAACACACAACGCAATCAGTGATTCTCAACTCGCATGCATGTGCCACCCACCGAGGTCCACCGAGGCCCACCGAGGCCCACCCCTCGATGTGCGCCCGATGAGCTCTAGAGAGGGGAGGGAGGGGCGCACTCTGCGGCAGCGACGGCCCCGCCCCCCGCCAAGCAGTGGTCGCGGCGAGCGCTCAGCCAGAGCAGCCGCATCCCCGACGGCCGCGCTTTTAGGCCCACCCGCCCCGCCGCCTCGTCGAGCAGCGCATCCACCTGACACGGACGACTCCTCCCTCCCCGCCGGGCGTCTTCTGGTGCGCCGCCGCTCCAGCAGCGTATCCACCGGTTGGCTTCACCATTCTCCATTGTGAGGGCTACAACGACGGTGATTTACTATGTGGTGCAGCGGCGGCATCCACCGCTTCCCACACGACAGCGGCGGTCGCCTCCTCCGCCGCCTCGTCCCCTCTCAGCCCGCCTAGACACAGAAGTATCCCGCCGCTGTATTTCTGTTCACACGTGATGTCCGCCTCGTCCCCTCTTAGCCCGCCCTCCACGGCGCGCACAAGCACCTGCCGAGATGCAGCCGAGATGCGGCCGAGATGCGGCCGAGATGCAGCCGAGATGCACAGGGCACCTGCGGGTTCCCGGCCACGTCGACGATCGTCGCACGGAGCGGTCGGTCTCCCAGCCTCAGCCCCTCCTCCTCCGGCCGCCCTGTCGGCAGCAGCGCGTGCCCGCCAAGCTCAAACTCGACCCGCATCGGCGGCGCCTGCTCCAGACCCGCGGGCAGAGTGTCCTCTCTCTGTGTGTGGTCTTGTGCTGTCTGCGTGTCGCTCCACGCGTGGCGAGCATCCTCTCTCCTGCGCCGCTTGCCCAGAGGCGGACGACCGCCGAGCCTGCTGTGAAGACTCCGGCGTCAGGGAGTGAGCACGGCAGCATGCAGCGGGTTCAGAGCCCGGGTACACAGCCGTCATCGCATACACGTATGACTTGAGTACCGTACGCCCTAGGGCCCCCGGCCCGCCCCCCCCAGAGAAAGAGGAGTCTCGTCTCAGCGCGCTGCTGTTGTGCTCCAAGCATCAGCACTGCTGGACACACGCCCCCGGGGCGTGCACGTAGGCCCTGAGTCACAGCCCTGTCTGTTGTGTCCTACTGTCCGTCGCGTGCTCTTGCGGGCGCGGTTGCGCACTTAGAGCGTTAAATGGTGTGGACCGTGAGACCCACTTCGCCACAGACGGTCCCGCGCCTCGCCACTATGACGGCGGCACGGCCGCAGCTCGTGTGCGTGCCGCCGTCTTTGTCCGGAGTGAAAAGTCCAACGTGCTCGTTGGTGGCGGCTTCCCCCGACTGCGCCGCGCTCGGCGAACCTCGACAGCCCAGCGCCTTCGGTGGCATGCACCTCTTTGCGACTGAAGCCTGGAGAGCAGCTCCTCTGCTGCTCTCACACGCTCGCTGCACAGATGGCACAGCCCACCGTGCGGCTGCGCCACAGCTGTGTTGGACTGTGCACAGCTCTCTGCACCTGGGGGACCTCGACCTGCCGCAGCCCCCCCACCTGCCGGCGGCGGCTGTCCCCCCGGCGCCTCACTTCGCTTTTTTGCCCACCAGCGGCCACACCACCCAGGGTATAACATGTAAGAACGACGCGCACACAGTGGGCCGGCAGTCGCCGAGCAGTGTCGCTCACACAAGCAGCAGCACAAGTGTAGTGACTGGGGTCTGGGGGCCTTTCACTGGTGGGTAGCCCGGGCGTCGTGCGGTACGCGCGCGGGCCGTCAAGATCCTCGCAGTCTCGCAAGCTCTCCTTCTCACACATTCATTCATATGCGCTGCCGACGGCAGCGCGGAGTTCAGGGGCGCCGGCACCTCATCAGAACGGCAGCTGCATTGCGACGATCTCCGCCGCGTTGCGGTGGTCGGTCATGCTCTCCCGCTCCGGGTCCTTCTCCCACGTGTCGGTGGCGATACGATAGTTGAGCCGCGGGTCGTCGGCCGCGCGGATGACGCCGGGGTGCGTCGCCCACATGGGCTTGCAGTGCGGCTTGTGCAGCTTGCGGTGCAGCTTCTGGCACTCGGTGCTGCAGTAGTGCGCCGCCTTGCACACGCTGCACTTCTGCAGACGGCGCGCCCCCTGGCCGGACTCGGCGCCGCACTGTGCGCAGGCGAAGGAGGGACAGCGGCCCGTCGCGGCGGTGGTCGCCCGCCCTTCGTCGAGGTACAGGTACCAGCCGAGGTGCTTCTTGGGCGCGGGCCGGAGCTCCTGCCTCCCAGCGGCCGGTCGCGACGTGGAGCGCCCAGGTCTCGTTGGTCTGCGGTGAGTTGTACGGCCAGACGAGCTTCCACGTTGCCGGGCGGTCGTCGGGCTCGCCGTCGCTGTCCTCCTCTTCGCCCTCCTCCTCCTTGCCGCGGTCCTCCTCGTCCTCCTCCTCGCTCGAGAGGTCCTCGAGCGCGGGCGTGCCGGCCGTCGGCAGGAGGACCTCCGACTTCTCGCCCAGGAAGCTGAGGGAGCTCGCGCGCTTGTGCGCCTTGCGCACCTCCGCCTTGAAGTTGACCTTGACCGGGATGTTTCGGGGCGGCGGGCGCTCCTCCGAGGTGACGCCACCGAGCACAAGGATCCGCTCGCCGTCGAAGAAGCACTGCCCGCCCTGGATGGGCATCTCCTGGTCCAGCACGCTCCAGCGGCGGCGCTTCGTGTCGTAGATCTGCACCGCGCCGAAGTGGTGGCCGTCGTCGGCGACGTCGATCATGCCACCTGCCACATCAGGCACATGGGCGCGCGCAGCCTCGTGAGGTCGTGAGAGCAGTGGAGGCTGGGTGGGCGCAGGAGGTCCGTGGGAGAAGTATGAGCGATTCGTGGGTGATGATGTGAGACGCACCCATCACGTAGATCTTGTGGCCCACGGCGACGCAGCGGCCCGAGTTGCATGCGTACGGCATCGGCGGGATCGCACACCAGTCGGGGTCGGCGGGGTCGTAGACCTCGCAGTGCGACATGTCCTTCGCGTCGCCCGCCCACCCGCCCTTCTTGAAGGTCGTGTCCATGCCGCCGATGGCGTAGACCTTGCCACGGCACGCCACCGCGCCGGGCAGGCAGCGCTTGGTGCTCAGGCCTATCGTGGGGCGCCACTCGTTGCGCCGCGGCGAGTAGACCATCACGCACGCACACGGCGGCGGGTTGGTCATCATGAACTGCCGCGACTGGCCGTGCGTGCCGCCGAAGACGTACACCTGCGCGGGGTGTGCGGGCACGGGGAGTGAGTGCGCAGCGTCAGCGAAAATCGAGAGGGGGGAACATCTCCTCTGTGGGGTCGTGGCCTCACCTCCTCGTCGCACGCCACGGCGCAGTGCATGTCGGTGGGCTCGGGCAGGGAGTCCGCCTGCATCCACTCCTTGCCGTCCACGAGCACCGAGACGCGCGCGTGCGAGTCCATGGTGTTGCTGCGCTTGCTCCCCCACAAGTCGTAGCTACCGGCGATCGCCATCACGAACATCTCCGGACGCTCGCGCCGCACGGCGATGAACGCCTCGTTGCGGGTGAGCGCGCGCCACCGCTGCGAGACGCAGGTGAGCGCGGCGTGCTCGGTGCGCGGCAGGTACGACAGCACCACGCACAGCTCGTCGTCGTTGAGGTCGGAGATGTCCTCCGCCGCGGCGCGCACGAGCGGCAGCGGCTGTTCATCCAGCCTGCGCAGCTCTGCGATGGCCTGGCGCACCTCCTTGGCGCCCGCCTCATGCCCCGCCACGACGAGGCGCTTGCTCAGGGCCTTGATGCCGAGGCTCGGCTCCTCGATCCGCATAGCTCGCACCGCTCCGAGCAGGCTGCCGTCGGAGGCGGCGACGCTCGCCTTGCGCGGCTCGTGCTTGGGCACTGCGAGCTGCGCGGGTGGCCCGGCCTTCTGTACCCGACCGAGCATCATGGCGCGGCCGAGCTGCGCCTGGGTGAGACAACCCACGAGCTCGAGGTTCGCCGCCGCTATCGACACCTTGCCCGCGCCGCCGCCCTCGACGCTGACGCCATAGCGACAGGTCGCGGCGAAGTACTCGACCGCCGTGCCGAAGAGGCCGTTGAGCTCGGGCTTCTTCTTCAGGCCGCGCACGCGCACGCGCTTCATAAAGAGCGGCGCGCCGCCGCCAGCGACGGGGCGCCACCGCTTGTCGTCGATCGGCACACACTGCAAGGCCGACATCGTGCCTTCGGCGATCACGGCAAAGTTTAAGAAGCTGCGGACGCTTGACGGCCTCTACTGGTTTGCAAAACGCGTAGGGCTAGCTGGTCGACAAGCGCCTGTCCACAAAGACGCCGCGTACAAATCAACCTGAAATCACACTGTGAACACAATCAATAGTCTAGCAAGAGCATAGCTACCCAAGGAGCAAGGCATACCGGTGTGAACAAGTCTCCACCGACACCCCCTCGTGCACGGCCATCCTCGTCCTCTGGCGCCGGACGGCCGATGTTCGACGGGGTCAAAGCTCTCCAGACGCCGCGCACGGCCCCAGGACTCGTGGTGAGTGTGGTGTGTGCCTCACGAGGCGGAGAGGCCGCGTGAACTCCCGTAGAAGCTCGCGAAGTGCGGATTTGGAGCGCCGACCCGGACCCGGACCCGCCCCGCGCGCCCGCCCCGCCCGTAGTGGGGGAAATGGTGAGATTTTTGAATGAACGCCTCGCGCAAAACCACCGCTACCATGCCAAAGAAGATCCTTGTGGGCTATCCAGAACACCTAAGATCATGCCCTAGCTCTAAAGTGGGCCCGAGATACGCCAGCTAAACCCCGGATTTTTTCCGGCAGCGGGCCACACATGGCCGGCTACCCAAGCGGGTCGCACGGAGACACGGGAAGGCTGCCGCAAGCCGCCTCCGGGTGCAGGGGCCCGGCGCGGTGGGCGGGGGCAACGACCCGGTAGCTGGCCGCGCCTCTCCCCCCCGCCCGTCGCCGCTGCACCCCTTGCCGCGGCCCTCGTCGCTGCTGGAGCGACAACAGCCACGGCACGAGGTCAGAACGCGGCCTCGGAGAGCTCGAGCGAAGGCGCCGACGGTGGCAGCCGTGGTAGTGGTTTATGGTAGAAGGCTCCTGAGCCGTCGGGCACCACGCTCGACGTCGCCGAGCAGCCGCACCTGTCGCGAGCGCCTGCGCGTGGTCGGGCGCTGCCGGCTCGACCTCCATTTCCGGCGAGGTGTCGGGCGCGGCGGGCGGCTCCGGCGCCTCGGTGGCGACCGTGGGCTCGGTGGTCGCCTTGGGCTGCCTGTGGATGTTGTCGTTGGCTGATTTCTTATGCTTCTTGCCCGTTCGGCCGATGCCTGAGTTGCGAGGCATCTCGGTACACGCGACGGCAGCACGACGTACACGACGAGGACGGCTCCTTGATGGCGACCTGCAGCAGGAGGGTGCGCATGTTTGGAGCGTGGTAGCGGACGCATCGGGCCTAACCCGGGCTGAACCTTCTTTTCTAGACGGCTAGGATTGAGAGCAGCCTCGCTCTCAATCCTAGAAGTCGAAGGATTGTGAGCAGCACTCCTCGCAATCGTAGCATCTCTGTGCGATTGTGAGCGCCTACGCTCGCAATCCTACGTCTTCTAGGACTAAGAGCAGCTCCGCTCCCAAGGTGACTGGTGACGCCTACGACTACTACCAGCGCGCTCGCAATCCGAGCAAAGTCTAGGATTGCGAGCAGCACTGCTCACAATCCTAGCAACATGCCTCCGATTGCGAGCAGTAGCGCTCGCAATCCTACATCTTGTATGTAGGACTATGAGCTGCTGCGCTCACAATCGTACCAAAGATCCAAGGATTGCTGGCAGGCGCACAGGGGGCGCTCCCAATCGCTCCAGCCGCGAGCGCTTGTGAGCGCGCTGGCATGGTCTCCTCACAATCCAAACAGTGATCCCACCGATTGCGAGGGGACCCGCTCGCAATCCTAGAAGATGTAGGATTGCGAGCGTTCGGCGCTCACAATCGCACAGAGATGCTACGATTGCGAGGAGTGCTGCTCACAATCCTTCGACTTCTAGGATTGAGAGCGAGGCTGCTCTCAATCCTAGCCGTCTAGAAAAGAAGGTTCACCCTAACCCGGGGCCGTGGCGTGTACCGAGAGGCTGGTCTACCGAACACTTTTGGTGCTTACCTGCCCAGAAGAGCGGCCCGGAAAAAAATATTGGCGCTGAGCCTCCTTCATTGGTAGAATCGGCGGCAATTCTTCTTCTCGCCGCGACATGGGTGGCTCTCGCTCGCCTCGCAGCGACGACCGGGACGACAGGCGCCGACGCAAGAAAGAGCGGAGAGACGGAAGCGATCGGCGGGAGAGGGGTGAGGGCAAGGAGCGTAGCAAGCGGCGCAGACATGAGGAGCGGCACAAGCGGTCGCGCCGGAGCAGCAGCAGCAGCAGTGCCGAGGAGAGGCCTGTGGAGAGGCCCGCGGAGAAGCCCGCGGCGGACCCGGCGAGGCCGGCGGCGGTGTCGCAGAGCGACTACCTCTCCCAGTACGACAACTACTCGGCGGCGCCGACGGGCTCCGCGCCGGTGGCGCCGGGCCACGCGCCGGCGCCGCAGGCACCGGCGCCTTCGAGGGCGGTCACGGCGTTCGCGCCCGACACGCAGGTCACGGCCTTCTACGCGCTCAACACGCGGACGGTCGGAGCGCTCATCGGGCCCAAAGGCGCGCCTGCGACGGTCGCGGCGGCGGTGCCACCTCCCGCCAGACAACACGCGCCATCCCTCGGGCGTCGCGCCCGCAGGCTGCATCATCAAGGCTCTCAAGGAGCGGACGGGGACGGCAATCACGATCCTCCAGCCGGGCGAGCGGCAAGAGCTGCCCGGCCTCGGCACCTTCGAGCGCGCCGTCCAGGTCCGCGGCCGCGCCGCCGCCGTCGCGGGCGCCGAGTGTGCGATGCTGGCGGTGCTTGCTTAATCCGTGATCAATCCTCAGCCAGTGAGTCTTCAGGCGCCGAGTCTGCGATGCTGGCGGTGCTGTCGACGATCGACAACGGGAAGGGCCGCGCTCGCCGGCATCTCTTCGCGCCCGCGCTCACTTGCCGGAGGCCTGACCGCTGACGGCCATGAGTAGGCGCGCTCGTCGACAACTCGTCCCACCTGCGCCAGCTCACCTGGCCGGGCGGAGGGGCGAGCTGTGAACAGCGTCTCTTCACACCTGCAGCTGTGAACAGGCGTCAGCTCACCTGGCCAAGCGGAGAGGCGGTCGTCGTCGCCGAGGGGCAGGAGCAGATCGCAGCAGCGGGCGGCGCGGGCGCGGGCGCCGGGGCGTGCGTCACCGGCGGCGGCGGGCTGGACGCCGCAACAACCGCTGCGGGCTGGCAGCGGTTTGTGGACGCAGCGACGGGCGCGCCGCACCACCACCCCGCGATTCTCGGAACCTTCTCGGAGCCCTCTCGGAAACTTCTCGGAGCTTTTCAGGTGCGCCGTACTACCACCACGCGGCTTCCGGCGCGACGAGCCGGAGGGGCCGGGCGGCAAACTTCCGGGAGGCTTCTCGGAAGGTTCACATCTCTCTCCCCTAGGCACGACTAGCTGGGAGCTGCCTGCGGGCGTGGGGCTGGCGGGCGAGAAGGCCTTTCCCTCGCCCGCCGAGGCGGCCAAGGCGGCGCTGCAGCGCGTCGCAGCAAAGGCTGGGCCAGACGCCCACGACACGCCCACGACACGCCCACGACACACGCCCACGACACGCCCACGACACACGCCCACGACACGCCCACGACACACGCCCACGACACGTCCACGACACGCCCTTTAGGTTGGGCGGCCTGACTTGGGCCCGCTCGGGGCGGTGCAGGCTGGTGCGCGGTCGCACCCCATCGGCCCGTGCCGGAGCTGCCTGCCTTGCGGCGCTAGCCGGAGCCCTCTCGGAACCTTCTCGGACCCTTCGTGCAGGCTCGTGGGTCTGCGTCGCGTGCGGAAACATCAACTTCCCCGGCCGCACCACCTGCAACCGTTCCGTCTGCGGCGCGCCTCTCCCCCGCGGGGCGGAGGCACCCTCCGCGACCCTTCCGCGACCCTTCCGGGAAGCTTCCCCGTAGGCATGCCTCGCTCCGAGGTGGACGGAGGCGACCCGGGCGGCCCCTCCCCCTTCAGCCAACCGAATGCCGCCGCCGCCGCCGCTGCCGCCGCCGACGCCGCGTTCGCAGCCGCAGTGGCGCCGAAGCCTTCTCAGCCGCAGCCGCAGCCGGCGGCGGCGGCGGCGGGGGGAGGGGCGACGTGGACTTTCAAGGGGATGGTCTTTTCGGGGCAGCAGGCCGAGCCGCCCGAGGCGGCTCTGTCACCTACCTCATTCGTGCGTCGGTGCCGACCGTTTCTTTTTTGCTCTCCAGGTCCTTCCTTCCGAAGCGACTCCGATCGGCGCAAAGGGCGCGCAAAAGGCGCCAAATGAGCCGCGCGCTCGCACGAATCTCGCACGGATCTCGCACGGATCTCGCACGGATCTGACACACGCCCCGCGCGGCCCCATCAGGGCCCAAAGAACCCCGCCATCGCCCCGGCGCCGCCGCCCGCCAAGCCGGCGCTCGCGCTGCTGCCGATCGACGACGCCGAGAAGCGCGCCCGCGTGGACCGCGCTGCCCGCTTCGCCAGCACGGCCGCAGAGCGAGCGCTGCAGGAGCTACACTACACTCCGCTGACACACCACACCACACTACACTACACTCCACTCCACTACACTGACTGCACACGCCCTCCTCTCACCCCCCCCTGGCTAGTGAGCGAGCCCAGCACTACAGTCTGCACCTCGTCTAGTGCGCACTCTGCCCTCCCACACACTCGGACTCCTTGCACTGCAGGAGCAACGCTGCACTACACATACCATCGCACAGCTATCTGCGTGCATAGCCTCACGACGAGATGTGGGGAG